GCGGCGGCGGCAGCCAAGCAGCCCCGCCCTTGCCTGATTGGACGCTCTGTCCCATCATCCCGCCCTAAGAGGGGGAGCGGACGGTCAGCCTGTTTCACCCGAGCGGAGAGAAGAGGCGAGGGGAAGGGAGGCCGTTACCTTGGAAAGCCTGCAGGAGCCGCGACAGGGGCAGCAGGACGTAACAGAGGACCGTCCCGATCATCCCGCCAGCCCGCTCCTCCTTTCCCCTCCCTTCCCGGCCGCTAGCCAGCCACGCGGAAGACTTGGCTCCGCCTCGCCCCCGGAGGTCGACGGCAGGGCTGCGGCAGGGCGGGCTGGCTGGCTCCGAGCTTTCTCTCCGGAGGCTGGTGCTGGGACCAAGGCCCTTCCCCGGAGCCCGAGAGGAGTGGAAGTTTTGCGCAGCCCCCGCCCGCTGCCTCCTTTCCCTTCGGCTCCGCACCGATTTGCAACGAAGAGCAGCACCACGCGGAAAGCCAAACCCCCAAACCGCACCCCTTTCCTACGCGGTGCTTGGGAGTCCCAGATATTCGGCGCCTGCTGGGTACAGGAGTCCCGCGGGCTGGGCTTGGGTGGGGGGGGGGCTCTTTGTCAGAAGAGCGGAGAGACCCTGGCTTTAAAGGGAGCTGCGGGGTTTTACTCTACCTCGCAGGACTGTCCCGCGGGCGACAGAGGGGAGGAAGGGGGGGGAACGTCAACTCCGTCTGCCGCCCCTCCCCTCCTTGAGCTGATTGAAAGAGGGGGGGGACCCGAGATGGGTGGGCTTCCCTAAGTTTAATGGAAGAGATTGACAGCAAACCATCTGCTTCACTGTAATAGAGTGACAGAATCAAGGGATCAATTCAACTTGCAATTTATACTTTTTTTTAAAGGGGGTATGTACATCGGCAGCTGGCACCCTTGTTAATTTGTTACATATAGCAGAAGAAGAAGGAAAAAACTGCGGTTGAGAGGCTAATCCCACTAAGCACTGGTGGCTGAAGACTTTGCTTCTCAGTTGGGCTGTCCAGTTAGTTATGTAGCAGTTCAGATTGGGGGTTACCCATTATTTCATCATCTCTTATACATTGATAGGAGTTTAAGTAAATACCGGAGAAGATTTCTTAAATTCTGCACTGCATGGATATCCTGAACACCGAATTTCATTGTTTTAAAATAAAGATGTTTTTGTTTGCCTACTAGTTGCTGTTACATATATTAATGTCACCTATTTAACTTTTTTCCCTCTGCTGTCAGTCACAATAACTGTATTTTTTTGTTAGCACTAAACTACCTAGTCTTAAGCTTTTAAAAACCTGACATTTGTGTTGGTCCAGTTCTCTTTTGGTCTTATTTTTACATAGAAACATTCATAAACACATACACTTGACCTATAGGGAATAGTGTCACTAAATTTAGCCCTGTGATTGCTTCTTCCAGAATTATTCGTTGAATTGTCTGCATGATGTAATTACTCCTCCCTGTCACTGGCTCTAGTGGAGTCGATTTATATGCTTTTAATGTAAATCAAAGATCAAATTAGATGAAAAACTGGAAACTCTTACCTGCTGGTTATATCCAGTATGGCCTTTATTAGTAAATGCCAGAATATCCTCAGCCAGTTTGAATCCTAGGCAGCTCATATTCTACTGTTACTCAAAATAACTACCACGAGTACATAATGTGGCAAACAACTCATCGAGATCACCAGGCTTAAAGTTCACATAAGCCATTTTTTTTTAAATAACTATGATTGTAAGGGGATAATAGAAGCAGCATACAGCTTAATTCTGTTCTCTGTCTAGCATGGAAAGCGGGCTATTTTCTTATATATACTACCTCTTTTTTTTAGTGCTTTTCAGTATTTTTTTGACTACTGGCCACTGCTTGCCCTGCAATTTTCTGGGAAAGATTTTCAGAAGTGGTTTGGTATTGCCTCCTTCCTAGGCTGACAGAGAGTGACTGCTCAGGACTAGAACTCGTGGTCTGTTTTATAGTCTGGTGCCTTAACCGCTGCATCAAACTGGTTCATCTGACCTCTGGCTAGTATAAAAATTTGTTTTGCTGTTACCTAATTACAGTAGCCTATAATTCAGGTCTAGGGTTACAAACTATTTGAAGCCTCGTGTTAAAAAAAAATTTTTTTTCCTCAATCTTTCACTTGTTAAAAAGTCAAATGGGGGGAGCGGGGAAGCAGTTCAGGTCATTTATTGTGGGTAGAAAATAACCAAAGAAAATAGGGTATGAATACCTGTGCATCAGTTGTCGCCAGTGATTCAGCTTACATCAGACCCATATTTTGATAATAGGTCATCTGAACCTAATGCTGCTAGTAATTTTGCCATGTTTATTGAAAGAATATCCTAGCAACATCTACAAAGCGAATTTTGTGCAACAACTACAACATGGGAGTTTTTCATGAATGTTAGGGGAAAAAAATTAATATACACAATCTTAATGTGGCTTCCCATCACTGCCCCTTAAATTACCAACGGCATCACTTTCTGAAACAAGATCTCTGACCTGCATTCTGATCCATTTTGACCCAGCTCAGCGAAGAAGACTTGACCCAAGCCTCAGCTATGTGGCTATAGAGATATGATATATCCTAGGTCACAATGTCTAGGTGAGGTCATGGAAGACTTGAAATTAAAGTGACCTAAACTTGAGGCAATAAACATGCATAACATACAGGCAATCATAGTCATGGAAATGTGATCATTATAATTAGAAATAATATAATTTGGGATTCTCCATTGCCAGTTGACATTTTAAGACATGAACAGTTCTGTGATTTGTAATACTAGTTGTTGGATTGGTCCTGTAAAGCTTTAGAAGAGCCTGAGGGAAAGGAAATAGTATCACAAAAGTACAGTAAAGAAGAATCAACAGTTAGGTCTCTCAGCAACAACATGGACTTTTTACAGTTTTTGGAGGAGGAAGAAGAGGAAGGTGAGATTGTAGTAAATGTGATACTCAATTTAAAAAAATAATAAACATGACCCAAAGAATAACATTCAACTTTTAGCAAATGTTGCAATTGTGCAATGTTGACTCTGTGTGTGTGTGTGTGTGTGTGTGTGTGTGTGAGAGAGAGAGAGAGAGAGAGAGATCCAAAAAGGATGTACGCTGATATCTTTGTATGAATGTAAAATGGGCCAGTAGCCAGATCTGTAGAAATGCAGAAATGAAGAAAGCTGCCAGTGCATTTATTTTCATCAAAACGCAAAAAACTAATTAGATTATTTAGTTTACATTTACTATAGTAAAAAAATGTGAACAACTGCATCTTGACTGAGCAGTTGATAATAAAAAGCCTATCCCAGGCCCCAAAGAATACAACAATACTATTATTACAAATGGAATGATAGTTGTTGCAGGAATGGGATATCAGAGACTTACTCACTGCGTGTGAGCTCCTTACAGGTTGCCCTGCTGGAATTCAGCTACACAATAATTAGTATTTGTTTTAAAAATTAATTGATAAAACAAAAATATATATGGTAAACTTCTTGTGAACCTTACTTACAGTATTTACTTAATCCTTTCCTTCCCTGCCAATTTTCTCTCCTATAAGAAAAATGTAGTTTGTGACTGCAGAACATTAGCTTCTTCCTGAACTAACAAAAGGTCTGTGTGTCCTGAATCCAGGGGCTTTAAGACACAGCCTGTATAACAAATATTGCCTATCTTCAAAGTTTATCTAAGACCTAAAGCAGGGCCATCAAACTCCCAGCCTACAGGCTGGATGTGTCATGCACTGCTCATGCCCACACCCAGTTTAGCGAAGGGGGGGGGAGTCCTGATATGTCATGTGACGATGCCCTGATGAGGTGAGTTTGAGACCCCTGATCTGAAGCCTTTCAGATCTTGACCACAAAAATCTGGATAACCATTAGATATCAAGAAAGTTGAGGTTTTATGTATCAATTGGAAATCTTGACCATGGTTTGAGTAGTACTAATAATGCTTATTATTCACAAATTATCATGCCATGGCAAGAGCTCTTGGATAGTTTCCTTTTCAACACAGAGAACTCATCCAGGGAAACAAGACAGTTCTGTCAATGGCTATGGCCAGCTTTCTTTTTTTCCCCACATATATCTAGAGCTGTGGATCTCATGTCAGTTTTGAATATTAAGTAATATTTAGAAAGGCCCAAAAGGTGCAAATCAGTAACCCAGTGAGTGGAAAGAAGAGACAAATTTCCTGCATACCCAATTCCTCAAAAATAAATGAAAAATCAGAACACAAATATCATATTTAATAACATTATTACTTGAGGCCCTTGTATGGGTTTATGGTTTTGACTTTCTTAAAAGAAGCTTTTTGCTTCTACTTAGTTGTACAATAAACTATGAATTGGGAGTGAAAGAAGTGGTATCGTGTCTAATGGCATGTAAAATCTTGTTTCCAGTCTTTGCGCACACTGATATTCAAACCATTTCACTTCATTGAAGGAGAACCCAGCACACTAGTTGTTTTCTATTTGTTATAGGAGCTTACTATTATGGTCTTCCAGTTAATGGCAGCAAAGGAATACTAGAAAAGGGAATGGCATAATTTTAGGCAAAAGGTCAATAAACAGTGAGGAATATAACTTGAATAATAGAAGCAAATAACTGGGGAAACATAAGTTTTTCTAATCTTAGCATGGTGTCCTTTGAAACTAGGAATGGTATCCTTTTGAACTATCACTGCAGGTGTTGGGGGTGTACAACTTCAAATTACTATCTGTGGTTATCTCTTCTGACTCTGACCATAGACAACATCCATTGTAACAGATTTTTCATGATTGTTATGTACAACTGGGCAAAGAAACTGAACAGGAAAAGAAAAAAAATGAACAGTTGTGGAAGGGTCTCTGAAGTTCATTAACAGATTCATTGATTAACATTGTGGGTTTTCTGGACAGAAATGTTGTGTATTCAATATCTCAAGAACCTTCCATTTATATAGAACGTAATTAATCTGATTGCAGGTAGTGAGATATCAGAAAGCACCTATGGGGAGATATTGTCAACTGCTAATGCTTCTGAGGCAGCAGAAGAGAAGAGGGAAGACAATTCTGACACAGACCTTTCGATTGAAGGTGAACAGTTCTCTTCTGTCTTTCATACGAACATTCCCCACCTCCCATTTTGTAAAAGTTCCCCAAAGTGCTCACTTTAACATAGTCACCTTAGCATTGGGCTTCCATTGCTTACTTAAAGAGATAATTTGCATTGTAGTTCCCCAGCCCAAAAGAAGATATAGATAGGTCGCAAAGTAGTCTTGTCAACACCATTAGATAGATCAACCTAATCAAAATGAATTCATAAATCTGAAATTAATTTGGAACAATGTAGGTCTAATAGCACTTCAATACTTTGTTATACATAATTAGAGAACCTGCTTGGCCTAGTAATTAAGGCACAGGCAAGAAAGTAGAAGACTGTGAGTTCCAGTCCTACCTTAGCCATGAAAGCCAGCTGGGTGACCTTGGGACAGCTCTCCTCACCTTACATGGTTGTGATATGGGGAAAATAGGAGGAGGAGTTTTTAATGTACTTGCATGCACAGATATGTCAAGGATCACCAATTCACTTCTCTTTGATAATTGTTCTGTGAAGCCTTTGACAAGGCTTAATTTGTTTTCTCTGTATCGAACTAGAGTAGTGTAGGCATTATCATCTGTATACTGTATCCTTTGCAGATGCTGAGCGCGCATTTACGACTATAAAGGGTGCAGACCTGTATAGAGAGGCATGCAAACTGGTGGGAGTGATCCCTGTCTCATACTTCACCCGGAACATGGAAGAGCCTGTTATGAATCTCAACCATCATGGTCTTGGACCAAAGGGAACCAAAGCCATTGCCATTGCTCTGGTTGTAAGTACTTTTACCTGGTGCTATTTCACTTCAACACACTTTTCCCAGTTTGGAGAAGAAGGATTAAAGCAAGGGTCTTCAAACTTGGCAAGTTTAAGACTTGTGGACTCCAATTCCCAGAATTCCTGAGCTAACATGACTGGAGGAGGAATTTTGGGAGTTGAAGTCCTCAAGTCTTAAAGCTGTCAAGTTTGAAGACCCCTGGATTAGAGGGTCACCCTATAACACTGATAGAGTAGTTTAAATACATACTAAAACTGGCAATTTCCATGAACCTTCTTCCTTCCTTCTTACTTTTTAAGCATTTTAACTACAGTATAATTGAATTTAACATCAACCAACTAGAATACCAGGCCTCTCTATGTGAAGCCATTAAACCACCAGCTGGTGATATAGAGATGTCAATCTGGAAGAAACATTTGACATACTAGCCTTAGTGTCTGCTACATAGACACAATGAAAAAAAAAAAAGAGTTAAAGAAATGTTTTAATGTGTTATATATACAGCATTATTAGCTAAAAACTTGAGTGTGATCTATGAGACTGCCCTTCTAGTTATCCAGAAGCTGCTTATGGTCTAGAATATAGCAGCTTGAATTGTTATGGGCACTTCTAGTTTTGCCCATAATTTATATTATTTGTAAATTAATGTTAGTAAATGTCTTCATTTTCCCCCCCTTTTTGAATTCTTCATTCTGTAGTCCAATACAACCATCACTCACCTGGAGTTAGAGGATAACTGGATTCTGGCTGAAGGAACTACATACTTAGTACAGATGTTGCGAGAGAACTGCTACATCCAAGAGATGGTATTCTGCGTTTCCGTCATAGGTTAACAAAGGAAACTCTCTTGTACTGCACTGTAGAATTATGTTTGGCTAATATACCAGGCTATTTCATGATTTTTCTGTATGTGCTATGAGCTTCACAGCCTTTACTTATTTGACCCTTCTATATCTTTATCAAAGGTGAACATTCTAGTGTCCCATGCAGTCCCCAAAGCCTGAGTGTTGTCCTCATGAAAATGCAAAAAGTGCTACGGTATTAAACTTGAATGTTTAATGGGACAATAGGAACTAATGAAGTCCTGAACAAGTGTATTTCATTCTAAAAATATTTGTGGTAGAACTTACAAGTTCACTATTAGGATTATTATATTCTTATTTTTCAATAAAAGTTGTGTATATGTTTTGTAATTAGTAATCAATCCCCTCTCAAATTGTCTACAATTTGCTCTCCTTATATGAAGAAGAGTGAATAAACAGGCCCAGTGATTGTACTGACAACATTGCTAGAATGTCTTCTTAGTCTCTTAGATTCATCACTTTGCTTTTTTTAGAATTCAGCAGAAAATGAAGGGTAAAGAATGGTTGCTGAATAGTTTTAAGCCTTTTTGGTTGGGTAGGTAGGTGGAGGACAAATTTTGCATTGATAAGATTGGTCAGGTTTCTTCCACTTGCTTTGGTGTAGACTCCAGAAAATGGTCTTCAGTACAATAATAATAGAGATACATTCAATGGCTATTGGCATTAGCACAGACTGTACATTATCTTTTAGAAAGTTATGTGAGGTACAGGAATCGGTGTTTTGGTTTGCCTATTTTTATTTTGTATAATACTTCCAAATATATTAAACGTAAATGTTTAACCGAACAGTAGGAATGGAACTGTTACAGTGGAATCCTGTACAACTGTATTTCATTCTAAAATATACTAAAGATTCTATTATCTATTAACGACTATCTATTAACTGAAAAAAGTATTCATTGCTAGATATGAATATCTATCTGCAAATGAAAATATTATTTACATTAAGTATGTCTATGTGTTTGTGAATGCACAAAGAATCATAAGTGTAATGGACTAATTGGGGGAAGGCTTTTTTATCCCTGATTATCTATTAAATTGCAAGTTACATCACTTGCAGCAGTTATGCCATTTGTGTAGGACATCATTACATAAAAGTTTTAAATAGTACAAAGTAAATGTAAATTTAATTGCCAGGCCTAGACTACTTTTGGGTACAATCAACTTAACTATTAAGTCTACATGGAAATTGATCAACTCTGAGTTTTAAGCCATTTTAGTTGAAACCTGGGTGATCAGGTTTCAGAAAGGTTTATTGTGCTGTCCCAGCCAGTCTATGGGAATTGGATAGTTATTCAGGAATTATGAGTTGTCCCCTTAAGGGAATGCATCATGGTAAATGTAGTTAAAGGTATCCTGGGAAATGTAGTTCATGTCACGTGGCCACATCTGCAATCCTGATTGGTCACTAAATTGACCCTCGAGGGGTTGAGGGACGTTTCCTCCATTCTTGCCTGGACTCATGGACTGATAACAGCTTTCTTTCTATTGCTACATGATGGGTTAGGAAATAACCATCTTTTATCTGCAAGGCTGATATACAAAGGATTGGTCATTACAGAAGAACTTCGTCATAAATGTGAGTCATGAAGATACTTGATGTACCAATAAATGTACTTTGTTATGGATGTTTTGCGGAATTTATCTAGCTGCATCTGTACAGCTACAAATCCACCTCTGTGCATGAGACAGGACATTTATTCTTCTTCAGGTGTACATCGATACATGAACATCAAGATGTCCCTCCAACACTTTCATTGTCATGTTGATGGAGAAAACTTGAGAAAGTGCATTTTTGTGGCTGGTTCCTCTTTTTTTTAATCTTTGTCTTTTGGTAGTCTTCCCTCAAAGTTTTCAACAGCAATGACATGGCATTTGGCTAAATGCAGATACATCAAACTGTGTGTAAACATAAACAGAGGCATTTGAAAATCAAAACATTTGGAGAAGAATAAAATCATGCTAGTTACATTCTGACTGACAGACCAGTTTAGATAACATGGACTGGGCCATTCTCTAGGATTTCACAAATATCTAGTTCAAATACTGCAAAGTGCATCAATTTCATCTTTCAACTCTTCTCTATAAGTTTTTCTTCTTCTTTTCAGAATATTTCCCATAATCACCTCAACAAAGGTGGAGCTGAAGCTATCTGCAGGATGTTTTACCATAATGTTTCTAACATCCGGTCCATTCGACTTGCAGGTAGGTTTATTCAAGAAAGGCAGAATGATGCAAAAGAGCAATATTCAGGTATCAGCTTTACAGAATACAGCATTTGCTCTTAGAAAAATCTATTGAAAAAATCCAAGGATTTTGGCTGGCAGGAATGGGACGATATGCAGAATAATGGTTTGTCCTATACCTACACCTTTGGGCCCTGTAAATTACAGGTGAGAAACTTGTGATACTTCATATGTTGCTGCATGGTAAGTGCCAGTATGTACCTCCTCTATGAGCATTCAAGTTGGACTCCAGCTGTAGTTTAGGATCACAATTCCCACCCCGGGCATACAGATCCAAATATGAGTCACTTTGTATGTTATCAAGAGGATGAAAAAGTCTTGCCTGAAATTTTGTAGCATCTCAAAACTCCAATATTGATAACCTGCTTTCTTGTTATTGTTGTCACTCACTAAGCTTTTTATTTCTATAAGTAATATAGCTTTTAAAAAGTTTTGTTGATGTATGCCTACTAACTACTTTGATAGTTCTCATTTTTACAGACTAACAGTTTGAATCCCTGTTAGAACGAATTGCTTTCTAATGTTAGTACCCCGTTCTTGAAATTTAACATTTGAAGTCAAATGTTCTTCTTTTCCAAGATATAAGACCATTTCTAAAAATGAAATGAATTGAGATTTACCTGCATCATATAAGCATATTAGATGAGCTCTGTGTACTGTGTATGAATTGTTCAAGTAGACTTTGCAAATGAGAGAAACTAACTAAGCAACTGTCTTACATAAAACAGCCCTCCAACTTTTTAGCAACTTTTTCTTTGTCTTTAGGAAATGATTTTAGAGATGAGGCAGCACCTTATTTTTCTGAATCCTTAATCGTGAGTATCTTGCTAAAAGGGACAACTGGGCATCTGAAATAAAAATTGGAAGCATTTAAATATAAACATAGGAAAATAATAAAAAGAATCCCCCAAACTAGCTGGAGCTTTTAAAATAAGCTTCTCAAGCTTTAGATGTGGTGAATTACAACTCCAGTCATCCCCAGTTATGGCACAAGGCCATATTTGAAAATATCTCCTGCAGTGGTGGGATTTTTTTTTTTTTACTACCAGGTCTGTGGGCGTGGCTTGATGGGCATGGCGTGGCTTGGTGGGCGTGGTGCAGCTTGGTGGGCGTGGCTTGGTGGGCATGGCATAAAATCTCTATTCCTACCCTACTCCAGAAGATGGATACTGCAAAATCTCCATTCCCTCCCTACCCCACTAACCTGTTTTCCAGCTCCATTCTCCTGTGCAAGGCAACAAAGACCCAGCTGATCAGGTGGGACTCAGGAGGCAGAAAATAGATGGGTCAGGGCCAGTCAGAGGTGGTATCCCGAACTACTTTAAATTTCTGCTACCGGTTCTCCAGAACTGGTCAGAACCTGCTGAATATCGTCTCTGATCTCCTGTCTACATGTGTAACAAGCTCCTGGATGCAACACCCTCCATTGCTAATTCAGTACAGGAAGGACTGTCTGTGGAGATTCTCAGTCATCTAGCTCAGGGGTCTCCAACCTTGGCAACTTTAAGTCATGTGGACTTCAACTCCTAGAATTCTGGGAGTTGAAGTCCACAAATCTTAAAGTTGTCAAGGTTGGAAACTCCTGAGCTAGCTCATAGTTGTCTCATAAGTGCTTTTTCAAAAGGCAACGACTGTTTTTTTCCTTGCAGAATAATAATAAAATGTTTCATTTCTTATCCAAGAAACTTCATCATTTGTGATGATCAGGGGGTGAAGGGGGGATGGAGGATATGTACTGAAAATTGAGACTGGGTGGTGGGGGATGAAAGGATAGGCTCTGACTGGATTTTTGGGAGGGGGGCTATGGAAGGATTCACTGCAAGAAGTACAATCCCTCCATTCCTCCTCCCCCCCAATCTCCCCCCCAAAAACAGTTCAGTTGCTTTTTGAAAAAACACTTTTGAGATACAAGAAGGACTCCCATAATTCTGAAACAATAACATTGTAGTGAATAACGTCTAGCAGTAAAGACCTCGTAGTAAGCATTAAAGAGGACAAAAATCTGCTTTGATTATTCCAGATTTCTGTGCACAATTTAAAGTGCTGGCTATTAATGTTAAAGCTCTAAACCAGGCTTGTCCAACCCGCGGCCCGCGGGCCGCATGCGGCCCAGGTCGCCTCGTAATGCGGCCCAGTGCCCACCCCAACCTTCTGGTAAGAGCCAGCGAGGAGGAGGAGGAGAGGCAGGCGCGAGGCGGGGCGAGGCAAGCGCCATGCCAAGCAGCAACAGAAAAGGTGGGCGCCGCCTTTGCTGCTTCTGCCCCCGCCGCCCCCCCACCCCGCCGCCGCCACCGCTGCTGCTTCTGCCCCCGCCGCCGCCCTCCCACCCCGCCACCGCCGCCGCCCCCCCCACCCCGCAAAATTTGGCCGGAAAATTAATAAAAAATAGATAATTTTTAATAAATAATTAATAATAAATAATAAAAATAATTTATAATTTATTATATAATTTTATAATATAATTATTTTATAATAATTTATTATATGTGCGGCCCAAACCAAATTTTCATCTTCTAATGTGGCCCAGGGAAGGTGAAAGGTTGGACACCCCTGCTCTAAACACAGGAGTGAGCTGCTACCGGTTGTCCCCGGTTCAAGCGAACTGGTTGTTAAGTTTATGGCTGGTTCAGCGAAATGGCAAATCCCACCCCTGACTGGCCCTGCCCACCTCGCCATTCCCCTTCCAGGAGTCCCCATGCAGCCCATTTTGGATCCCAGGTAAGTGCAGGGCCTACACGGAAGCTTGGGGAGAGCAAAAAAAGGGCCTCTCAGAAGTTCCAGAAGGCCAGAAACAGGCTCGTTTCCGATCTCAGAGGGCCTCTGGAGCCCAGGGAGGCCATTTTTGCCCTCCTGGAAACTCAAGGAAAGCCTCTGGAGCCCAGGGAGGGTGAAAACGGTCCCCACGGTCCATTTTCACTCCCAGGCCAGGGTGATGCAGGAGGCTGACTAGGCCACGTCCACCATGGCCACGTCCACCCATCAACCGGGCAGAGAACTGGTTGCTATATTTTTTGAAGCCCACCCCTGTCTAAACAGTGCAGTACCTGGGTACACCAGGGAATATCCTTGGTAGAACTGAATCTGCCTGTCCAATTCACTTCCAGTCCAGGGAAGTTCCCTCCCTTTTTGAGATACCTATGGGTTGGGTAAGATGGCAAGCCTTCTTTATTGTGGTAACTGTCATTCCTTTATGGATTACTGCTCCTCCAGACATACACACAGCCCCCACCCTGCTGAGTTCTGGAAATAGATTTAAATCTTTTTATTTTATCAAGGTTTTGGTCCTAGCTGAATGATTGTAAACTACAGTCTGGGGTTTTATGTGATTACTTTGTATTTTGGATATTGTTCAGATTCACTTTTTTATTATTATAATCTTGGCTAATATTTATTTTCATTTAAACATGACATTCAGAGTCTTGGGACTGAAGAGGCTTATAAATACTATAACATAAAAAACATATAAATAGATCTTTTTCTCTCAAATTGTGATCAGACTTGGCCTCTTGGGTAGGACTGTACTTTCTTCAGGCCTCTTTGAGATATCCATAGAAGAACGCATGCCTCTTTAATAAAATTTCTTCTTTAATCATTCTTTAATATCTTTGACTTCTCTTTACCTTTTCTGAGGGAAGGCATTATCAGAAATAAGGTGATGGTATGCACTGAAATTGACTGCCTGTTTGAACCATATTCTACAACCCAGCGTGTAGTTCCGTATCAATCAGGTCTCCTGAAGAATAAACCAAAGTGGTTTTATTCTGAAGACACTAAAATGCTACCTCAAGATTGGATAACTAACTACACGCTGGCCCTCCACCAGTAGAGATGCAGATGAAATACAAAATTAGCATATCTGAGATGGTATTAGGTCAACATGGTATTTCATGTATATGTTTTAAGGTAGATGAATGCATATACAACCTTGGAAACATTATTTTTGACACTTTGGAAAAGTAGAGTGTCACATATCACAAGCAAACATTTGCAAGCAAGGGGACCCTTGTTTTAAGGCAAGTGCTTAATAGAAGACAACAACTGAGTCTATAGGTATCTGCACCAATCTTTCTACAGGCTAATTACAGAGTGATAGAGCTGGACCTCAGTTACAATGAGTTTGCTGAGAAAGGTGGAGAGCTATTTGGACAGGTGCTAGGTAAGTTTTGTTTCCCAACTTGAGGGAGGAGATGTGCCAAATAGTAATGTTACTGAGTCAGCTATCAAGACCACCAAGGACTCCAGAGTAGTATTCATATTTCACAAGCCGTGGACATCTAGAAACAATACAAAACTCACAGTTGCTTTGGATAGTGACGTGGGCAGCATATACATTTAATAAATAACTCTTGCAAAAATGCCCATATGGCATATGCTGTATAAAGTGTTTGTGCATCTTTTATTCAGCCAACAATGAATCACTGGAAATTCTGGATCTGAGCTGGAATCATCTGCGGCTGAAGGGTGCTATGGCCCTGAGTAATAGTCTTAAGGTGAGAATCTGCAGGACAATGTTTAAGGCAGTGATGGGATTCAAAAGATTTTACTACCAGTTCTGTGGGCATGGCTTGGTAAGTGTAATGCGGCTTGGCAGGCATGGCTTGGTGGGCGTGGCAGGGGAAGGAAACTGCAAAATCTCCATTCTCTCCCCACCCCACTAACCTGCTTTCCAGCTCTGTTCTCCTGTGCAGGGCAACAAGGAAGACCCAGCCGATCAGCTGGGACTCAGGAGGCAGAGAATAGATGGGGGCGGGGCCAGTCAGAGGTGGTATTTGCTGGTTCTCCAAACTACTCAAAATTTCTGCTACCAGTTCTCCGGAACTGGTCAGAACCTGCTGAATACCACCTCTGGTTTCAGGTGTCTTAAGTTGAAGGCCTTGAACAAGCCAAGGTTGAGTATGATACCAAAGCAACAAAGATAAAAGCCTATGGCAAGAAAGCAGCAAGCAGAGACCCTTATTTACAAAGAATCTTAAATAATTCAAAGCAGGAGATGCTTTGGAAAGATAGCAGTGAAACAGTTATTCACTCAGAATTGACATTTTTAAAAATATAAAGCAGCACCCTTTATATTTACTCTACATTTATTTCCATACCTCAACATACTTTCAGAGTGTGTAAATCAGAAAACACAGCTGGTTTAAGCACACCTGTAATAGGACAACTTTTCCTAATCTTTCCCAATTTGCATCTGTGCTGGACTACATCCCCAGAATTTCCAGTCAATGTTCATGCTGGCCAGAAATGCTGGTGTCTTCAGCATGGTGCCAATGGCATCAATGTACCAACTCTGTGACTTGCCAGATCCTCTGCCCTATTTGAATTCCTTGATGTAAAAAATAAATAATGGGAAGGTAAGGAATTAAAACAAAGTTCCCGTCTGGATCGTGATCTGTTTCCAATAGTGCCTTTGGCTCTTTCATGGTGCACTTCCATGTGGCCAGTGTCACCTTCCTAAAATTCTCCAAACTTTCAGAGCCTTCAAAGTTCCAGCTTTCCATGTTGCACCACTGGCTTTATCAGCCACTATTGTTAAATCTACATTTTCACTACCTGTGTATTAAAAACTGTCTCAAGAACTTAGTGGCATTGTGGAAAATTTAAGAGGCAGGATCAGCCTTGAACCACTGCAGTTACTATGCAGTTTCTCAATATCAGCTGGAATACTAACAGCAGACTCTACACCTCTTAGTCCAACTGTGATTCCCAAAGTAATCTAGTTGGTCTCTGTGTGTAAGAAAAAATGTTGGAAAGGTAAGGCCTTCACATTATATACGTGTTGATGTAAAACATGATCAATGTAAACTGCTCCAAACTTGATTGCAGAAAGTACAAGTTCAGCAACAGAGTGGTCAATGCCTGGAATGCACTACCTGACTCTGTTGTTACATCCTCAAACCCCCACTCCTTTAACCTTAAACTATCCACCATTGACCTCACCCCATTCCTAAGAGGTCTGTAAGGGGTGTGCATAAGTGCATCATCGTGCCTACCATCCCTGTCCTATTGTCTCCATTTTTTCATACCTGTTTCCTGTATTCTTACTCGTGTTTATACTTATACCTATTATCTTGTAAGTGATTGACAAATCAAATAAAAAAAAATGATCTGAGTTCTCTTCATCAAAATTGATTTCACTTCTGTCTTCAGAACTGAAAATAGTCTGAAAATTAAAATATTTTTAAAAGATATATAGTCACAGATAAAATTTGGTTCTTTCTTCTCTTTTTTTTCTGAAGGCTAATGGAACATTGAAGATACTGAACCTTTCCTGGAATGGCTTTGGGAATGAAGGAGCCTTTGCCCTTGGAGAGGCTCTTAAAGTCAACACAATGCTCGCTGAATTGGATATCAGCAACAACCATATCAGCAACGAAGGGGCAATAAAGCTAAGCAAAGGATTAGAAATGAACGGGAGCCTTAGAATCCTAAAGGTAGGATGCCATATTCTGAGGTGGTCTACCACACATCCTCTAGGACTGCCAGTTTTATGGCCCTGGGTGAGCTGTCTATAGCACTGTTAAAGTTATGCAGTTCACTGTAGAATTGGAGAAAAGTTCCCATGTTTTGTTCTTACGTTTTCCTGTTTCTAGACTTCAAGGTTGCAGAGATTGACTTCAAATCAGCTGAAGTAGCAAAGAGGATAAGAAATGTAGAGCTGCAAGAAAGATCTGTTAGAGGAAGATGTTTGAGTGACCAGGGCATTTCATATCATGTTGCTTATAAGTCTAGGGGCTGAAAGTGTTCATTCTTACAGCTTTTATCTGAGATTAGTTTGCAACTGATCACTCAAACAAAGAAACCCCTGACTATAGGTAGATCTTGCTTACTGACTGTCTTGTGCAGCAACCATTCAAAGTTATGATGCTGCTGACAACATAACTTTGTGACCATGATGGGCATTTATGACCATTGCAGTGTCTCTTTCTGTCACATATTTTCCATTGCAGCTAACAATGCATTGTCTGATGCTGACCTGGTTTTTATTCTTTATTTGCTTCACTCCAACAAGTGATCTCTTTAAGCAACCTCTCCTGTGCCGAACCAATTTTCTCCCCTGCAGAGCAGAGAAATTGGAGAGGAAGGGATAACAAGAGAGTAAGCAAGTACACAATGGAGAATGCACATCAAAAAAGAATGCATGCATTCCTTTCAGTTTGTATTCCCCATTTTGTGCCTGTTTACTCTCTTGTAATCCCGTCCTATCCTATGGATATACAGTAAATACAAATATTAATACCCTTCTTGCTTATTATCCAGTGTGAGGGTGAACATTTTAAAAGGCAGGGGAGTGGCAGGCGGAGAGAAAAGCTGAGGTAAAATTGTAAGCACAGTAGCAGTCCAATGATTTTCCAATTAGCAGCTGTATCACTTAGTGACCAAGTTGCTGGTCCCAGTTGCGGTCACTAAATGGGGACTGTCTGGAGTATTTGTCTATTTCTTGTTTGAGATTTATGACAGCAATATAAGCAGTAGAAATGTAATAAACAACGTTTCATCCATCTACCATCATCAACATTTTCCTTTGGTCTATAGGATGCGTTCCCCCCACCATAAATAAGCATAAACTATGGCATAATGCATATGCCTGTTATAGTGCTTGCACTACCACAACCCCTTGACTTGTGTTAGCTTCCTAGCCCCGCTAAATTTGGCCAGCTGATGCCATATGATAAGATAAATTTAGTACATTTAATTAAAAAATCTAAAGTGCTTCAATATCTTATCCTAAATCAAAATTATCATCAAGAAGTGGTTAATGCCAATAAAAAATTATCAAAAAGGAAATGAGTGCAGAGAAACCATTGCTGCTTTTTGATGCAGCATTGTAAAAATCTGTTCAGAGTTACAAACAATGAACAATGATATTATCTGACTGTGCTGAACAAAATCATCAGTTCTTCCAGGCAGCTGTACCCTGTCCCTTCTTCTCTAGCCTCCCAGATATCCTTGCTAAGAACCCTTTTCTCTCATTGGATCATCAATCCATGACAATGACCAAGCCATGCATTGTACTTCTTTAAAAGCTACCGATCACTGTTATATTTCCATTTTACAGGTCAGGAATGTTGCTCATGAGTTCATGTGTTATATAAAATTATGTAATAAATCTATATTTAAAATTAGAACAGAATCAAGTATCCAGATCTAGGTGCAGGTGTTTTTTTTTAAGCTCTAAAACCAAAATAATTTCTTGTGTATTATTTCAGGATCCAAATTATAGTTTATTTTCCTCACAGATGTCCCAGAATCTCCTCACAGTAGAAGGCGCCATTGCTCTTCTCATGTCAATCAGGAAGAATTCAAAATCCAGAATGGAAGAAATCAACATCTCAGTAAGAATAAATTAGGAGAGGGAAAGTTAAGAAATATATATGTGCACAAAATCAATTGTTGGTAAAATGAAAGGTTGCCACATACCCTGGTCTTTGTTTGCTAAGAGAAATAAAAATTTACAGCATTATAACTTATAGCATAAAATAGTTACAGTATATTGTATACTCTGTGCAAGTTAAACATTAGATAGGATACTTCACAGAATTAGCATCACATTAGATTCCTCTTTCTTGTTAGTTTTTAGGGGAACCCACATAGGGCAACAAACCTTGTCAAAAACTTTTTTCTCTCCCTCTCCCCCCCCCCCCATTATTAAGAACATAGTTGAAAGCATCATGCATGCCAATCAAATCGCACCTTCATACTAATAGAGTCCTAACATTTAATAATATTGAAATCTTCTTGAAGCCTTTCATTAATAATTTTAGCTCCTTTTCCAATACAGCCCATGTATGAATAACCAGAGGAATATTAGCTTGATGGTTTTTGAGCTTCCTGAATTAAATGAAGAAAATTGAAGAGCATCTTGAAATGGATTATATAGTAAAAGAGCAATTCACTGCATACCAAGTGAACTTCAAAAATAGAGACATAAAACATTACTTTTGAGAGTAATGATCTCAGGCATATTTGTTTGGAGATGCATGTCATTTTGTTCAAAAGAATATGCTAGCAAGCACATTGTATGAAAGATCCAGTAAAGCTACCCATGATTGGCAAAGCAAAATACTTTGTGCAAAACAGGAAAAAGAGGCTGAATCAGTTATGACAACTGATGGTATATATGTAGATTTGTGCAAATTACAGAACTCTGAGTTTTGAGTGCATAGTTTGAAAAGCAGAGCATAATTAGAGCTCATTCAGAAGATTCATCTTAAAGTTTCCCCATCAATACCAAGAACGCATTCTGGTATCTGTTTTTATAAGCCCAGTTCTTCTGATGTTATCCTAATCTCATCTTTAAGCTCCAAACTGACTTCTGCTTTTAAAGAAGGATGTGCCCTATTTTGACAGTTTATGGCCATCTACTTGATCAAGGATGATTCATGGATAACTGACCAACAATGTGATTAGTAATAGGATCTCTACTATCTGTATTGGCCTCTGTTGTGGACATGTTCCTTCTTCTGTGACCATTGGTGCCATTTTTGGGTTTGACTGCAGGATTAGCCAGATCCCTGGTTTCTACTGCCTCTTTCTGAAATATTCGTCAGATCTTACCCAGGCTCCATAGGTGCATGCATAGAATGCTTTTTTGACAGAGCATTAGATGTGTTTATATTGTTATTTAGTAAACAGAATCAGTATTCTCTGAAGAGAAAGTAGTTCTACTCTGCACTGAAGCAATCCAAGTTCTACTATCTGTGCTGCTGGTTCTTGTGGCCATGAGGGCATTGTAGGTTTTCATCGGTATATGCCAACAAAGGGATTTGGGTATCCCTATTGTTCATTGCTTTGATTATGAATGGATGCAGGCAGTGTCATTTTGCCTAATAGTGTCCAAAATCTATTTATTTATTTATTTATTTATTTGATTTGTCAATTGTTTACAAGATAATAAGTACAAGTGTATACATAGTTGTGAATATATGAAATGGGTACATATAAGAAAAATAAAAGAATAAGAGAAACAATAGGACAGGGACGGTAGGCACGTTGGTGCGCTTATGCACGCCCCCTACAGACCTCTTAGGAAAGGGGTGAGGTCAATAGTAGACAGTCTAAGGTTAAAGTTTTTGGGGTTTGGGGAAGAGACTACAGAGTCGGGTAGAGTATTCCAGACATTGACCACTCTATTGCTGAAGTCGTATTTCCTGCAATCAAGTTTGGTGCGGTTTACTTTGAGTTTGTATCTGTTGTGTGCTCTTGTGTTGTTATGGTTAAAGCTGAAGTATTCATTGACAGGTAGGACATTGCAATGTATGATTTTATATACCATGCTTAAGTTGGACCGAAGACGGCGTAATTCGAGGTTTTCTAGTTTTAGAATTTCGAGTCTGGTGGCGTAAGGTATTCTATAACGGGTAGAAGAGTGGAGAACTCTTCTTGTGAAATACTTCTGGACTTTCTCAATTGTGTTAATATCACATACGTGATAAGGATTCCAGACTGATGAACTGTATTCGAGTATTGGTCTAGCAAATGTTTTGTATGCTCTGGTTAGTAGTGAGATATTACCAGAGAAAAAGCAACGTAGGATTAGGTTAACAACTCTTAATGCCTTTTTGGCTATGTAGTTGCAGTGAGCTCTAGCACTTAGATCATTAGAGGTGAGTATTCCCAGGTCCTTTACAGAGCTTGGGTCATCAACAAGATCTTGACTATTCAGCTTGTATTTTATTTTCTGATTTTTTTTACCAATATGTAAGACAGAGCATTTATTTGTTGAGATTTGGAGTTGCCATATGTTAGACCATTCAGATACATAGTCTAGATCTTTTTGAAGGGTAGTAGTATTGTCTGAGGTATTGAACAGCTTTACATCATCAGCGAAGAGAACGCAATTGCTCTTGATATGATCACAAAGGTCGTTTATGTAGATTATGAAGAGAGTTGGTCCTAGAACACTGCCTTGGGGAACACCGCTATTGACAGGTACTGGATTTGATAGGGCGTTCCCAATTTTGACCATTTGTTGTCTGTTTGACAGGAATGCTTCTATCCAGTTATTCAGTTGTCCAGAGATACCATAAGATTTTATTTTTAGGAGTAGTTTGTCGTGTACCACTGAATCAAAGGCTTTGCAGAAGTCTATGTAGATTGCGTCTATTGCTTTGCCCTGGTCGAGTTGAGTAGTCCATATGTTTTTGCAGTGTAAGAGTTGCAGATTACAGGATAGTTTTTTTCTGAAACCAAATTGTTTATTGGAGAGTAGGTTGTTTGTCTCTAAATGGAGGATGATGGATTGGTTAATAATTGATTCCATGACTTTACAGGTGACGCAGCATAAGGAGATTGGTCTGTAATTTTCAACTAGGCTTGGGTCTCCCTTTTTGAAGATGGGAATGACTGTGGCTTGTAACCATAGGTTGGGCAAGGAGCTGGTTCTGAAAGATCTTTCAAAGATTATGCTTAGAGGTTTGGCTATGGCAGCGGATAGTTTTCTTAAGAAGTAGGCACATATTCCATCCGGTCCAATAGATAGAGATGGTTTTAGGTTGCGTAGTGCTTTTTCAACGTTGTCTACTGTAAAATCGATATGTATTAGATCATTATTGTTGTCTGTGGTACGGCTAGGAAACATTGGGCATGATCCATTACTGTTTACAAACACTGAGCCGAAGAATGTGTTAAAGATGTTGGCTTTAATGGTGTCGTCGCTGCAGTCTTTACCATCAGGTCCTATCAAGGGAGGGATGGACCTTGAGTCTTTTAGTTTGTTGTTTACAAAATTGTAAAAAGCACGGGTGGAATTGGTGCTTAGAAGGTTTTCCTCTTGTTTAGTGTGGTAATTGGTGCATTCGGTCTTTATCTGGTGGCATAAATTTTTATATCGGTTTTTGAAATTAGCAATGTGACTAGATTTGTTTTTCCGCCAGAGTGATCTCTTTTTGGATTGAAGTTTCCTTATTGATATGGGTAATCTGCTTTTTTGTTTTGTTTTTGGAGTTGTTGTTGGAACATATAGTTTGATGACTCTTTTGACTTCAAGTAAAAATATGTTGTAATGATCTTCAACAGTGTTGCATCCAATGAATAGAGATTGCCAATCGAGGGATGAGAGATCGTTATCTATAAGATCATAATTGCCTTTTTTGAAGTTACAACTAGGGATGACATCGTTGTGGTGATTTTTGCGTGGACGTATGTTGAGGCAAAAGTCAATCATATTGTGATCACTACTGGAAAAGGGTTCTTTGGTTTGTATTCGGTAAATTAAATTCAAACTATTGCAGAAGATGAGATCGAGGCAGTTGTTCAGTCTAGTGTTGTTGGTTACTAGTTGTTCAAGACCTAGATTTGTAATAGCATTGAAGAAGGTAGTGTGTATGATTTCAGTTGTACAATTATTTAGGGTCCAGTCAATATGAGGTAGATTGAAATCACCAAGAAAGATAAAAGGGTATGGGCAGGATGTAGCCCATGTTAGTAGTGTATTTAGCTTGTTTATATGTTCGATGTCATAATCAGGTGCTCTGTAACATAGTAAGAATCGAATTGTGATATTTAAGGATAGTTCACAGATGATGGTTTCAGGAAGGGCAAGCTCCTGGGTAACTTGGATATTTTTTAGATGTAAGGATTTTTTGTAGAATATAGCAACACCACCTCCTCGACGATTTTCACGATCTGATCGGTAAACATGATAGTCTCTTACTGTGGTAATGGAGTCGGGGAGAGATGCATTGAGCCATGTTTCACAGACAAATATAATGTCAAAGTTAGCCATATTTAAGAGGATGAGAAATTCAGGTATTTTATTCACGAGGCTTCTTGCATTGAGTAGTTTGCATTTAAGTCTATGTTCAAAAAGAAGCCAATCGGGGTCAGAGGCATGGACAGAAGTTGAGGCAAGAGTGCCTTTTGTTCTCCTCCCGCCCTCTCTCCAGTGGAACAGCTTTCCTCCAGAAATCATGGGCACTCCAACACTGGAGGTTTTAAAGAAGAGTCTAGACCAGGTGTGTCAAACTCAATTTCATTGACGGCCGCATCAGGGTTGTGTTGGACCTTCAGAGGCTGGGGGTGTGTGGCTGGTGGGACGTGCAGTGGTGGGATTCAATTTTTTTTACTACCAGTTCCGTGGCCATGGCTTGGTGGCCGTGGCAGGGGAAGGATACTGTAAAATCTCTAGCCAGAGGTGGTATTTGCCAGTTCTCCGAACTACTCAAAATTTCTGCTACCGGTTCTCCAGAACTGGTCAGAACCTGCTGAACACCACCTCTGGGGGCATGGCCAGCTTGACGTCACTTGGTTTAGGGCCACCTTTGGTGGCCTGAGCGCTCTGCCAGGGAAAACAGGCTTCCAATCTTCGTTTTTGGCTGGGACAGCCCCTTGCAAGCCTCTGCCAGTGAAAATGGAGGTTGGGAGGTAGCCCTCCTGAGCTCCGTTTTTGCTGGCAGAGGGTTGCAGGAGGCCATCCCAGCCAAAAACAGAGATTGGGAGCCCGTTTTTGTTGACAGAGGCACTGTGGGGCAGTCCTTTGCTGTTTCCAGGATGGCCCCACAGGCCAGATGTAAGCAACCCCCTGGCTGAAACTGGCCTGGGCCTTGACTTGACACCCTTGGTCTGGACAGTCACTCATCTAAAATAGTATAGGTTTATTTTATTTGTTTTATTTTATCTATTTATTTATTTATTTGTCAATCGCTTACAAGATAATAGGGATAAGTATAAACATGAGTAAGAAGACAGGAAATAGGTACGAATAAATGGGGACAATAGGACAGGGATGATAGGCACAATGGTGCACTTATGTACATCCCTTCAGACCTCTTATGGGGTGAGGTCAATAGTGGATAGTTTGAGGTTAAAGGAGTTAGAGGATGTAACAACAGAGTCAGGTAGTGCATTCCAGGCATTGACCACTCTGTTGCTGAAGTCGTACTTTCTGCAATTGAGTTTGAAGTGGTTTACATTGAGTCTGTATCTGTTGTGTGCTCTTGTATTGTTGTGCTTGAAGCTGAAGTATTCATTGACTGGTAGGACATTGTAGCAGATAATTTTGTGTGCTATGCTTAAGTCTAACCGTAGGTGGCATAGTTCAAGGTTGTCCATGCCCAAAATCTCAAACCTGGTGATATAGGGTATTTTGTTGCGAGCAGATTAGGGAGCTGGACTAGAAGACCTCCAAGGTCCCTTCCAGCTCATTCTATTCTATTCTATTCCATATTTGTGGCTGGAGAGTCAGACTATTTTAAGATATAAATTTAGTGCTCTTTCAAAAGAGTGCTAGACTTGTGTTCAGAGCTCTCCTTCTACACATACAACCTGTCACTTGGGCAGCTTCCAAAGTGGCAACCCCAAAGCCGCAGGCTCCTGCTTATGCTTTTATGACCCTGTCCTGGCACATCTTAAAGGAAGTGGTTGCTGCTTGTTTTTCCTGACAGTGGATGAAAACTTGGTGGGGAAAAATGAAATGAAACTGGGGAATCTTCCTTTTTTTAAAGTTTTTTTTTCTTTAATTGCTACTGTAAGCATATCACCATTTGCTGGCCTCATTCCTAAGCAAGATTTTAGTGTGTGTGTGTGTGTGTGTGTGTGTGTGTGTGTGTTGCCAGAATATATTTTTTTCTGACTTAAAAACTGGAGGACAGCACAGTGACACAGCCATCCAACTGTACCTAGGATGACTCATTGAAATGGTTTCATAGTTTCAGGGGCTAATTCCTTATGGGAACTAATTTAGTAAATGGACCTAAAAGTTGGGGAGGAGAATCATTTATTTCTAACCCCAAACTCTGTTATCCTGCGCTTGGCTCTATTTTAGAATGTGCTTGTAAATGAAGGATTCATCAGGCTGTTAGATCATGTCTGTGAAGTACGGCCTGAACTAGATATCGTCTATGGAGGAATTGGAGGCCACGTTGTGCAGAAGACTGAGCGTCAGGTCGATGCTATGAAGCTGATTCAGGTAAGTGTAATGGCCAGTCCCTCCCTCAGAAGCCCGAGATGCATTTTAGGCTTCTACCCAGAATATATTAGATCATTATAGAGCCTTGGTGGCGCAGTGGTTAGAGTGCAGTGCTGCAAACTACGTCTGCTGGTTCCTGAAGACCTGCAATTTGCCAAATTGAATCCCACCAGGCTCAAGGTTGACTCAGCCTTCCATCCTTCTGAGGTGGGTAAAATGAGAACCCAGATTGTTGGGGGCAATATGCTGACTCTGTAAGCCGCTCATAGAGGGCTGTAAAGCACGGTATATAAATCTAAGTGCTATTGCTATTGCTATAACAGCATTGCTGTTATGATGCAGGCTCTGCTCTTTCCACAAGAATGTAGAATGTCACAATGTGCAAATGAAAGAGACAAAACTTATGTCATGATGTTGTGTTCTGAACTACGTCCTTTTCCAACAAATGAAACACAATCCAAAGGGAACAGAAACCTTTTAATGCTTCTGCAAAATAATTAGCTGTGATAAGCACAGAAAAAACTCTCACCAAACTGTGCGAGACTGCCAAAAGAACAGACAAGAAATAATTTGCAATACAAGAATCTTCAAATACAAACTCAGGATACTGGAATGTCCATGAGGCTGGAGTTTCAAAACATGTTTGCCTTCTGCACGTTCGTTTCACAGCTGGCTTTTATCTTCTTGAAGGAGGGGCCATTACCTTGCAGCCTTACTCTCGAATCTCCCGTGCTGTTGTAGTTGCTCTTTTCTGCAAGCAATCCTGCGCGCACTTGGCACAGGCTCCTTGGGAACCTCCTCATCACTGCTGCCGGTCTCCACAATCTCTGAAGGCAGCAGTCCACTCCCTAATGGTCCTGGTCCCTCATCTAAGTCCTTGCTCTCCTCAGCCATCCGCATCTGCTGCCGGCTAACCACAACAGGTTGTGACACTACGTTCGTTATTTGCCTTCTGATGTGCTCCCCAATTGCCTACTGAACTAGTATATTTTAAAGCTACACGTAAAAGAGGAAACAGCGTTGGCCAGATAGAATTACCAATAAAGGAGAATATTTGTAGCTCAGGGTTGAAATGAGGTGTTTTCTTGGTTGGTTGGCTTGGTTGTTTTCTTGCAGACATTTCATTACTCAAACCAGGTAACATCATCAGTGCATCGGTGATGCTAACTACAGTAGTTTGGGGTAATGAAATGTCTGCAAGAAAACTATCAAGCTCAGAGAACACCAAGGACCCTCCCTCCAGATAGAATTCTTTGAAAAAAGCTTTATAGCAATAGCACTTAGTCTTATATGTACCAAAAGTGCCAGCACTATGACTGTTAAACTTATTTCGCTTTAAATAACTATTCCAATCAACTAATAATTACATTTGCACCTAGGTATATAGTATAGGAGGAAATTGCTGTACTGCCAAGACACAATGACACAGCATCATGTTACCTACTTTGTACTGTAAATAATAGATTGTATAGCACATAGATATACAGATACTCCTCATTTAGTGTCTGCCCCGTACAGTCAATTGTAATTATAACGATGATAAAAAAAGAAACTGGAACCAGTCTTTGAATTTACAGTTTTCACAAGTATGTAAAGCAAAGTAAGATTGTAAAATTGTGGTATTACGTTTAGCAATAGCTTTGATAAATGACTGAGCTGCTGTACAAATTGTGGTCACTTAGCAAGGATTACTTGCACAACTCTCCACCTGTGGCTGAGCTTCAGTTCTCATTAATCCTAGCCAAATGGCTTCTTTTGATGGACGGTGGAAGTAACAGTCCAGTAATCCTTGGTCCCTTACTGCCCATTGTGATCTAAAGAAAGGGATTTGCAATGAGAGTAGAAATTTGATGAATGTGCTACCAAAAAGAGATATAGCCATTTGAAGGCGTCCCTCAGGAGGACCATTCCTTAAGCAGGGAAATGAGGTTTTTGAGCCTGCAACTGGCAGTTCCAGAATGGCAGGATCAGAGCTAAGAAGCACTAAAACTAAGAGAAGGCTTGGAGACCATGATTTTGGCTTAAGGGAAGTGATTCAGTTGTAAAGAGGAAATTATACTTTTGGCAAAGTAATGTTATATTTTCTGAAATGAAAAGTGGACAAGGTTTAAAGACTGCTTAAGTATTAACAGTTAGAAAGCAGAAAAATTCACAACAGCTTCAAAGAGCCCTTATCCAGGGGATGCAGGTTGAGTTTCAGCAACAGAAAACTTAGCCTTCATGTTAGAACCACAGAAGGAGATGTTGTGGTAGATTTACCCAGAGACATTTGATGCCACCCTGAGGGAAGTGGTTTAAAATACTGAACTTGCGGTCCCATTCACTTCTTTTTATTTTATTTTATCCCCAGATCTATTTAGATGCCAACAAGCTAAAGCCTTGGGACTTTTTTAGGAGCATGGATAAATATGGTGACATGAAAATTCCCGTGGCAGAATTTCGGAAAGCCATGATGCTGGTAATGTTTCAAAATTCTTTTATGGTTACCCCAAAAGATCCTTGGGAATTTTAAATTCATCAGAGCATTCCAGGTTTTTACCATTCCAACTCCCAACTCATCTGCATCTGAAAACCAAGACAGATTTTTTTTAAAAAAGCATGAAGCAGAGAGCCAGCTTGGTCTACTGGTTAAGGTATCAGGCTAGAAAGTGGGAAACTGTGAGTTCAAGTCCTGCCTTATCCATGAAAGCCAGGTGAGTGACTTTGGGCCAGTCACTCTCTCTCAGCCCAATCCACCTCACAGGGTTGTTGTTGAAAATGAGAGAAGGGAAGTATTGGATATGTTTGCCACCCTGTGGTTGTTGTTGTTGTTGGCGATGATGATGGCAAGATACAAGTTAAATAAATAAACAAACAGACTTAAAATTATACTGAGGATCAGAAAAGGCAATTTTATTGTTTTGTGGTTGGAATCTGTACTCCCTTCCCTATGTCCAATTTTTTTGTTGGCCAAAAGCTAGAGGCCACAGATGACATGACTATGGGGAGGGCTGGAATAGTTGGTCATTTTCTTCATTAGAGGAGTGAGGAAGTTTTTTACAAAAAAATAGAAAAAGGGAAATAATTGAGAAAAGCTTCTTGCTTTAGTTCTATCATAGCTGTGTTCTTTTTTCCCAGAGAGAAAGAGGAAAATTACATCATTTTTATTTAACACTGGTGAGATGTTGATGGCATGAATTTGAAAGATTTTGAGAGACCCCAAAAGTGCTCAAGGAAATATAGGACTTAGTTGCTTTCTTGTTTCCCATCTTTGATGGGGATATGAATGCCAAGATTCTGAGCAGTACATTAATTGAGTAGCCCCTGTTGACCAAATATGTCTCAAAGAAAAAGTTTGTGTCAGCTGCATTAGGCGGAACTAGACCAGGAAATCAACTCCACCAGAAGGCTAAAACTACTTTTATTGAGTTTAGCTGTTATAACAAACTCTTGCAAGTCCAGATGTTGTTAGGACATCCTGGGCTCAACAAATATTTTACTTCTTGTTGCCTTGACAACAAAACTTGCATATCTCTGTCAAGAGCACCTTCCTCGCTCACTACAGTGTGCCAAAATAAATCTGAAACTCAGTAAATATTGATATTTGCCCAAAAAAATCTCAAAGCAAAATACCTGCAATAAACAAACATTTTCAACTTCACATGGTAAGGTGTGAGCTGAAAAAGAAGTTTCCTACATGTATGGTACATTTAAGATTTTACAAACTGTCTTCACAATATGTAGTATCGATATAGACTTTTCTCCCTTATGCTGATGACACAGAAAAGCATTCACTCATTCAATTTCTATGGCTGCCCAGCTTGCTAATTTTAGCAGTGAAACTGAATCAGTTGATCATTATCTTTTTTCCAGGTTGTATTTTGTATTTTCCCAGCCTAGCCCACAATTGTAGTTTTTCACGATGGTTCCCATCATAACTAGATCTGATCCTGCTTCAGTGTGTGGACCACTCAAAGTCATCTAAGGCAGGGGTCCCCAAACCTGGCAACTTTAAGACTTAAGGATCAGATCTGGCTATGATGGGAACCATCGCGAAAAACTTGTTGAAGTCCACAAGTCTTAAAGTTACCAAGTTTGGAGACCTCTGTTCTAAGGGCTGCTGCCCATTGTAACAATAACCAAGATTTATGCAATAATTATATTCTTGTGTCTCAAGCAATCAAAGATCCCCCTGAAACGGCTGCAAGTTGTAGACCTGGTACACAAATTGGACCCCAACAGAACAGGCTACGTGGACTACAGGTGACTGCTTACATTAGACGTATTTTTTTTATTTTAAAAAAGAGACACAAAGAGGAGGGATGGAGGGAAGGAGAGAGAGAGGCTTACATAGAAATATTGTTTGTGTTCTTATTGACCATTTGTGTCCAAAACTGAATATAGGGCAATAGATCTCCATAATTGTGAGTTAGGAGTTTCAAGCCTTCTGGGAGTTCTTTTCAGCATCCTAAGGAACTGGGAAAAGTAAAAGAAAAGGGATAAAAGTTCAGCAAAATTACTTTATTATTAACCTTACTGTTTTTTTCCTCATTTTCAAATTAGTCACTATAGAGTTGAGGAGCCAGTCAAGAAACACAAGGAAAATGAGGATGGAGATGAGGATGAGGAGGACAATGATGCTGCTGATAAATGGTCCTGAAAGATGAGTGCTGGTAGGAAGCTAAGAAATGTGCTTTCAGCTGAGTAATAAGTTCTGGAGGTGAAGAGGCAATTGAATATCCACAGATCTTAAGCCTAGACAATAAAATGTATCGAAATAGAAGCTGATTTCTTTACATCCCAAAAAGGAAGATATGATGAATCATGAATGGTATTTGTGAAGGGCAGTCAAAAAGGCAAGAAGGTGTAAGCAGGCCATAGTCAAGTCTTAGAAAATGATGGTCAACTCATCTAGAGATGCCAGTCGATCTCATCTAATTTCAGAATATGAAGCAGGCTCAGAGCTGCAATAATGGGATGGGAGACCAATGTGGCTCGACTGAGAAGTAGAAGCATCCTTGGCACCACCACCCCCTTTTGTTGCCAAGAAAATAACAAGGATGTCTCTCTATGAAGTCAATGGGTAGTGAACTTTACTGGAAAGAGACTTCTTTTCTTTCTCAGAGTGGTGAAATTAATATGTGTTGGATTTCAATTCCCATAATGCCAAGATATCATGGTCTTGCCAGGACCATATTGTGTACCAAGCTGGGGGAAGGATGTTTTATGTCATAAAGTTGATGGTGTTAAAGACAGGGATCAGTATTACAAACATTCCTCCAAATGTGAACACATATACTTTCTCACACAGCACTCCACTGTGTTGTGGTCCGCACTCCACTGTGTTGCGGCCTGCGAAGCTGGCAGCAAAATTGGACAGTGGAGAGGAACATGGGCCAGTTCTGGAGTCCGGGGAGGGCTCAGACAAGGGATCTGCATCCAACACAGAGATGGGGCTAGGGCCATTTGAGAGTTATGTGCTGACTCCGGAGCCTCCAGAATCTGACATCAGTGAGGCAGAAGAACAGAAGGGAGCCTGTTCTCAGTGCACGCTTGTGCAGAGCTGCCAGAAGGCAAAAACAGTTAAGACAAAAGGGGTGACTTGGGAGTAAGGCTTGGAGATGATTGGCCTCTCCCATAAGACATAAAGGAGGAGCAAAGGGACATGAGCCTTTGCAGAAAGCAACTTCGTTCATTCTGGTCAGTTTAAAATCTGAAGCTCCATGTTGACTTTGTGCTGCATTTGGCCTTGTGTGGCTAATTGGCAGTTTAGTCATTGGCAGCATTTCAAGGGAGATAAAGGTGGGTGCTTACAGCCTTATCCTGAAAGACTGTGGCAGACTTCTGTTGGACTATTCCTAAACTATTTGGTACTCATTACGGGCTGTGAATGTATATAATTCACAGCCGTTGAAATAAAAGAAAAGGTTTTTGGGAACAGCATGTGATTGTTACAGTCTCAAGAAAGCTTGGTCAGAACACACTGTAGTTTTAATGGATGCAGGAAGATGGAATATTGTGGTACCTTCATTTACCTAGGTTTTTGTATACTATTTTTTTTTTCTTAGTGAAAAATACAGGTTGTTTGGATTTGGCAATAATGGCAGAAACTCTCTCTCTCTTCCTGAGTTTCTGACCTTGAATAATGAAACACCAAAGTGGATATTAAAAGCAAGGGTGAGTCTGTAACTCAGGAGCAGGATATATGCTTGGCTTGCAAGCCAGAGGTTAACTCTGTGACATTTCCAAGTGATGGGAAAGAAGTACTTTGGGAATCCTGGAGAGGAATTGTTGCTCAAAGCGACAGATATGCCTCACTTATGGGAACAAACTAGAAAAGCACTGTTTCTAATGTACCTAAGTTTCTAAATACTTGCATACAGAAAAATGCTACAGCAGTCTAATATTTTATGTTACCATCGTGCTTCAAAGCAAAAACAAGGGGGAGAGGTGGAATAAAAATTATTAGTCAGGCAGGCAGGCTCACACTAGATTGGTGGAGAACACTAGAGGCACAGGAGACAGATAAAGGGGAACACTGAATTCCTTTATTTTTAAGGTTGTATTTTGGTGCATTGATAATAAGGATCAACTACTTCAATAATTCTTATTCTGTACAGCAAATTATCTGTCTTGTCATTGAAGCAGTGCCCTCCTGAGGCATATAGGGATGAGGGAGAGAAGTTTGTTCGATTTCACAAAGCAGCTCAGAGAAGATCTCACAACATTCTCACATTGTTCTCGTGCTTCATTAATGCAAAAGGCTAATATGCTTGAAGAGGAAATGAGGGAAAATGCAGGAAATTTTGGCAAAAAAAAAAAAAAAGCCCTATGCTGTGTTGTCAGGAGTCTAACAGAAAGGAGATATCTTGGATTATGTGAATCAGGAATTTTAATAATAGATTGAATAGCTATTTTTGTGAAGCCAAATGTCCTTCATGTAGAGATCCAACTTTAGAATAACTTAAATCTTGGAAGAATGTCGAAAGAATATAATAGGGATAATGGAAGGGAGGGAGGAGTACAGATATGAAACTAGGTAGTCATAATTTTCTTAATACACATTTACTGGATTTCTGTGTTATGCTAAGCTAATGTGCATTTAATTACAATTTATGCTTCAGGCTATTATTTTCAGTTTCATTGTTTCTTCTCTTCATTAATACTGTAAGCTATCAAGACATGGTGTATGGTGAATGAAGATTCTTCAAGCAACTTAGTACAAAATGAACATCTTCAATAATAGGAAAATATGTTTAGGAAAATACACAGCAAAAATAGCATTTCAACAACAATAATTCCAACAGGTAGAAACAGAAAATATTTTGACATGGTCACATATTAAGTTTCCATAGTTACAGAATAAATTGTTATTCCATTGGCAGAACAGCTGATTACAAAGAGCAAAATGGCAGAAAGAAAATATGATTAAATCAACAATTAATATATCAGAACACCAAACTTTTTTTTAAAGCCTGCTGTGAAACACTGAGGTAAGGTTTGTTTCATTTGTATAGTGCTGGGCTCTCTTTTGAAAAAAACATTGTGAGGCATATAAATTGTTAAGATCAAATGAGAGACAAATAATGTTTTATTATTGTAAAATACCCATGAAATATAGTGGTAAAATATACTGAAGCTTGCCAAATATTATAATATACAGAAATCATCTAAGTAGATGGATTCATAGTCCCAGTTATCTAACAATTTGTCTAATCTAAATATTTTTATTGTTCCATCAAGGTAGCATGCAAGAATAGTGTAAATCTAATAATTCCTAGGTAGAAAGTCATATGACAGTCAATAATTACATTGTATGTAAAAATAATTAGGCAAAGACTGTGGAGCAACTCAGAACCAACCGGGGGAAAGGATCATCTCAAGAAAATAAAGCTATGATCCTCAAACAGAAAGAAGAGCTTTTTATCAGGGATAGTTTTGAATAGTAAGATTATAAACATGGCTAAAACATAGCATATTTACCAGAAAAAGTTAAATCATTTACAGAAGCATTCCTGTATATTTTGATAATGGCCATTGGGAGCGGTAGTGTATTAAAGACTAGCTTTTTAGCAGTATGGTGAAAATGAGATGGATTTTGCTGAGATGGATAAATTGAGTTCTTTCATCAGAGAAAGGTTAATATATATGTTTATTGCTGACTAGAAACCTCTTATGGACTTTCTGGTAAAACAGAAAAAATAAACTTTTGATTTATGGCTTTGATAAACCTTAAAATAAATTCACTGAGGCCATCATTGTCACTAAATGCATTTGCAATGATATTGGGAATCAACCTGCCTTCCTCAATCTAAAATCTTCAGATGCAGTCTAATATAAGAGTCCCCAACTCTGGGTGTGTTCCAGTACCGAGCTGTGGCCCATTCAGAACAGGGCCATGCAAGCAGTGGATGTGCGCACACAGCACCACTTTCACAAGTGAGGGAGGGCACACCTGAAGCTCCATTTGTGCGAGCGGTGATCCAGGAATCAAGTCTCACTTCAGAAGACACGCCAAAATAATAACAAGGAAAACAGAACGGCTATCCCAGCTTTCACATAGCAGCTTGAAATTTAGCACGCTGGTCAGATGTGGGCTCTATTAGAAGCACTGTGGAAAATGTTGATCCAAGAATTTCTGCGAGCAAAACACCTGTATAGTGTTCTAAGTGTATCTTAGGAGGAACGGTCAGTATAAAGGCAGCTTCGTATGGTCTTCCTTCAATGAAAAATGATGTGATTCATCTGTTGGGAATGTGATGTTATAATTTGCCACTAGTTTAATAGGAGAACCTCCTTTGTGGCACACCAACTCCAACAATATGAATGAGGGCTGTGGGTGAAAAATAGGTTTTCACAGAAATAAATTCAGGTGGTATTGGAAATAAAAATAAATATTGCAGGAGGAAAATTATGGGGAGCCTAGGTTTCAATGTTGCATCCCTATGAACGAATACTTAGAAATAAATTCCATTCAAAATAATGTAGCTTTTATTGCAGAAGGAGACGGTAGGAATGATCTGAAATACTATATACCATGAAATATTAGAGCTATCTTGTATTATTCATTCCTAATTATGTTATGAGATTTAGCCCTTGTGATAACTTGCATGCTATGAAATACATGCAATATGAGTTTTATATCCAGCTCCCTGTAAAACAAGAAGACACCTTTGCATATAATAGAAAGGACATCTTGGAAACAGATAACAGCCCTGCATGACCAACCACACAAATCCTAAATTCTATTTTATGCCAAAACTCCAACTGGGATATACCAACAGCTCAAAAGACATTTGTATTTGGCCACTGCAAGTTTTGACTCTGTCAGTGTGTGGATTGAATCAGGGGTGGGATTCAAATTTTTTAACAACTGGTTCTATGAGCGTGGCTTAGTTGATGGGCGTGGCTTGGTCATGTGACTGGGTGGACGTGGTCATGTTATTGGATGGGCATGGCCAACTCAATATCACTCACATCGAGGCACATATCTCCTTGTCTGGCCTCTCATATGGGTATGCTGCAACAGTCGTAAGTGTAAAAAATGGTCATAAGTCACTTTTTTCAGTGCCATTGTAACTTTGAATGGTCATTCCACACAAGCAAAGTACCAGCAAAGGAGGGGGAAAAAACTCCAGAGAAGTTCCAGAGACAGGAAGC